GCTTAAAGTGAGGGTGGCACAGTGGTACCGGGCCTGTTGCGTGTGGGGTGGCCTCGGCTGCCGCTCGGGAGGCCTCTTCCTTCTTCCACAGCACTTTTGGAGCTCTTCATCCGCATCAGACACCTGCCAAGCTTCTCAGAACGCGAGCAAAAGCAGAAGTCTCATGTATGGTGCATTTAGGGTGAGCGAGGAAGATGCCAAGGAGCTCTGATGGTAGCTGAGCCAGGGTTTCTTACTTCCCACTGCTGTCCTAAATAACTGCATTGCCCCTAAGTCTTCCAGTGGATCTACAGCAGAGTAAAATCCTGTAACAAAACCCAAGCATTGATTAAGTCTGAATACTACTGGTAGTCCATGCTGCCAAACTCCAGCAACGGGCAGATGCTGACCGCACGGGCACAGCAGCCTCGTTCAAGCAGTCAGTCCACTCCATGAAAGAAAAAGTCATGAACATTTTCTTGCCTTTTTGGGATTGTTGTGAAGGAGCAGTAATTGATCTAAATGTATCTTTATTAACACACCCTGTGTTTACAGCTAAAACAGAAAATACATACTTGTTTATGTAGGGCTGTTTTTGCATTCAATCTGGGTAGGCTAAATAGTCAAAAAACATTAAATAAACAATCAAAAAAACCCCATCAGAAAGCAATGAACACAACCCAGAAAACCCAGCAACAGTTTCAGGAGCAAATGTTACTATTATACAAAGCAGCTCTTTAGAAGATGCCATTCCAATGTGGTATTTGGTAATTTTAAGAATAGGGAAGTTAATCTTGTAAAAATGCTACAGCTTTGCTTTACAATCTTAAAAAGATTAGGAATACTTAGTCCTTAAAAGCTGACTAGGAAGGAAATTGATAAATAAAATGAATGTACTGAAACAAACGATGGCATTTGGTGCACAAATATTCACTAATGTTAAGATTTAGGAAAGGTGATGCTACTATAGGTTTTGCTATTTCTTTTTAAACTTTAGTAGGACTTTGGGACACTTCTGTTAGGACAGTTTCTCTTCATTTCACCATCTTCTTCAAAATGAGTATTAGTTGATCCAAAACCAAAGAGAAATGCTCAGGTTTAATTAGTGTTACCCATTGCAAAAATGTTCTTTCAGGCATGTCACCCAGTTGTTAATAACACGCAGAGGATATATTTGTATATACAAACCATTTATTACGGCACAGAAAGGCATAAAATTATCAAAATGTTTGTTAGTACTTGTGGTGGTGCAGACCCCCCTGGGCCGCGTTGCGATGTCAGGACCCACCAGCATTGTGTTCTGGTGTTGATGCAGGTGCAGTGGGCCAGGACCATCTGTCGCTTTCTTGTCTTGGTTGTGAGTGCAGTCAGTTGGGGCAATGGGGTACTTTCTTGTCCTGGTTACAAGTACAGTGAGTTAGGACGATTAGGCACTCCCTAACAATACTTGACACTCCTGCTGCCTGGATCATAGCCTGCTCTGGAAGGTACCAGACAAGAATTGTGGCCAAAATGGAAAAATACTGACCAAAGTCAATCATCTTGCGATCGTAGAAATAGCGATCCCAAGTGAGACCCTTTGAGCTGTCTGGGATCACGGCAGGCTGTGACCCAATATCTCCCCCTGAGTTGGGACGCCTCTCAGGGTAGATTTTGCAGGGATTTCAAACAGTAGATTTTGTGAGGATTTTGAAGATTAGATTTTGTGAGGATTTTGAAGAGTATATTTATTGAGGATTTCAGAGATCATGTGCTGACAAATGCCGATGAAGGAAAGGAGTGAGTCATTCACTGCTATTGTATTTCTTGAGGTTTCAAAGATCGTTTCGTACCCATAATTTACTACTTTTTGCAAAAAGACAAACATCCTAATTATATAGGTTAACCTCTATATCTGTTTGTGTGTGTACGATTTGATTTAGGAAACTCTGTTGTAAGTCTTGTGTCTGCATGCCATTTGATTTAGGAAACCGTTGTAAGTCTTATGTGAACCTTACTGTTTTCAGATCTTTAACTAAGTTGCTGTGTTGGTTGTGGCAAATTTTCTTAAATCACTCTGATGATTGGCTGATGATTAAATATTGTTAAAAATCATACAACCTAATCCTGTGTTAATAAATCTTAAATTGCTGCTACCTCAAGGTTGTGCAGGATCCTAAAACTGATATACGTGACAGTACTCTAGCTTGCACAAAAGGAACTTGTGGTCTTGGTTACTCCTTTTTGTCCTTGTACAAGCCCAACAGAGAAACACTGGCTACTTTGACAACCTTGAATTCCATGAACGTCACCATACAGGGTGACCCTTCCAACCAAAACCCGCAACCAGAACTTCTGTCATTTTCCTAGAATTTAGCAGTAACCAGATAGCTAGAAACAACTGTATGATTTAATTGAAATAACAAATAAGAATGAAGTCAAGTAAAGCTAATAACCAAGACTCGCTTTGGTAAATTTTCACGTCTATGTACAGTGGAGAAGCTGCACTCTGAGTCTGTTGAAATGGCCTCAAATTGGAAAATTCAAGCTTCACAATTCCACGGTCTGTTATTAACCAGCTAACAGCAGTTCTACACTCACCAAAGCGTTGGGTGAGTAACATTACTATTTCTGAGCAGTTATACTGGGACAGTTAGCTTCACTAGTTGTGGATGCAGGGTATTTACCTTGATGGAGTTCAGGCAGCCACCGTTGGGAACAAGGGCCGTTGTTTTCCTGCCGTTCTGGATCAGCTGGACACTAACACCTTGCTGGATGGCATGGTTGGGCTGCTTTGCTTCCACAGGTCTGTTTGACGGAGGAGCGAACCGGACACTGAGCAGCTGTTTCTTCGCGTGGGGCAGCCCCACGGTCAGTCCCTGCTGGCACCCCGGTGCTCAATGTGCCGGCCACTGATGTGGCCCTGTCCCCAGTGCTCCTGGCCGCAGCTACTGTTCTGGCTTGAGGTAAAAAAGAGCCAATATTCTTTTCAGTGATTCTACTTTTCATCTAAGCCTTTTCTAACTAACTAAACTCTCTGAAGTTAACAGCCTATTTTTTCAGACAGTGTTGGCTTCTACCAGAGATAAGGCCTGATGTTTATAATTAATACCAAGGCATGGTACACAGAAAGGCTCTTGCTTATATGTACTGCTATAATACCCAAGGCCAGCTAACTTTTGTTATTTGCCCCTTTGGAGGGTTGGAATCGGAAAACTATAGAGGGGTCCCACCTGCGGGGAGGAGCAGACAGGACAGGTAACCCAAAACTGACCAACAGGGGATTCCATCCCATCTGCCTCATGCGTAGTATAAAAGCTGAGGGATCAAAGGGTCAGGCTCTTGCTTCAGTGACTGACATCCGAGGAGGACTCTCTCTGTGCATCTGCCTTTGGTCTCAATCTGTGTGTTCCTGAATCCAGATCTGGAATCCAGTTCCCATCCATTGCTGAGTCCAGTCTGGGGCTTTCCCAATGCCTGCTGGTGACTGGCAATGTGATTGTCATCCTGGGAGCTTGATATGGTTTTGTATATACTGTATATATTTCCTTATTTCCTTATTAATATTACTATATTTTCTTTTTATTATTAATTATTAGTATTTCATTAAAGTAATTTGGTTTCTTATAAACTCATAAGTCTCTCTTTCTGTCATTCTTTCACTTGGGAGAGAAGTTAGAGAACATCTGCCATTTGTTTTCGTGGTCAGCCCAGCCCAAACCCCAACAGATGCCCCCCACCGGGCTCTGCAGAGCCGTGCTTGCAAAGGTAGCCACAAGACCCTGCTCTCATGGGGTCCCTCTTCTTCCTGGCCAAGAATCAGAAGCTTCGTTCTTGATCCAGTCTCCATCCAGACCAGCTGCAGTAGGGCCTGGAGTCTGTATGGAGATTTCTCGGGATAGGACGGCATCTTTTGGGATTGTGGGGAAGCGTGCAAGGGGTAGAAGGGAGGCAGGAGAGTTGTAACAGGATTGATTTTTCCATCATCCGAGCCTGTGTGGTGGAGATGAAGTCTGAAAGACCTGCAGGCAAATCAGTTGCCCAGAGAGAGGATTTTGTTGGAACTGAGACAAGCTCTTTCTATATACTAAGGCCAATTTTCTGTCCGTGCTTCTGTTGCTTTGTCAGTGCATTGTGACTATATCTGAATCAGAGGAACAATGCATGCTGCAAAGTGAAAAAATAGTAATGATATATTGAGTGCTGTTACCTTGTACATTGCCTGATACCTCATACTTTGCTTGAGTTATGTTATTTTGCTCCATTCACGGTGACCTGATATGTCATCTGAAGGTAACTATGAACTGTTTTGAAAATAAATTGTGCCATTGCCTGCCTGAGGAGATGATAGACAAAGAGATGCATTATCCATGTTTGAAATTATGTCTGCAGTCTCATTCGTTGCATGCAAACACAGCGTGTGTATAATCGTTGCAGCATCAGGCAGAACAGCTGTCATCTCGGGGTCTCCATCAATGTTTATGTGATCATCCTGTTTGACAGGGGGGTTGCCGGACTGTAGTGGCACATTTGGGGATGTGTGGGATGACAGCAATACAGACTGGCTGACCTATCAGTCTTTGATTGTTGGTGTCACAAACCTCACAAAACTGTGAGCCCTTATGCTGAATACAGTCGCCAGCTGCTTTCTTAACTACCTTTTCTGCAAGGGGGATCCAAAAAAAGAGCAATGTTTAAAGTACAGTAAGATCTGCTGTGCCTCCTCCCTGGCAGTGGAAATGCTTGAACTGCCATGATACTAAGTAAAAAACAAGAAAGTGATAGCTGCTTTGTCATCAAAGGACAGGTTTTGCATGAACAGTAACTTTTAGAAGAGTGTGTGACACTTCTGCCTTTTCCCAGGGCTGCTTAAAATTTTCAGCCGAGCCATGCCTCTGTACTGATGTAATTATTCTAAGTTTAGCGTAATACATTTCTGGTGCTTCAGAGAACATTTAGAGATTATTTTCAACTGGTACTTGTTTGTCACTATGCTCCCTTATCTCATTTTTCAAGCTGGGATTCTCATGTAAGTATCTGGATTCCTCCTTAAATTGGATAGAAGCAGTGCTACTGAGGACAAGCTGCTGAGAGATTTTAAAGATTAGTGAATACTCTATCACTGAAAGAGAATGAATTAAGATGGGAAATCCTTTTTAATAGTTACAATGCTAAAGCCCCTATATTTATCTTATATCTGGAATGCAATGGGCAGGAGGTCTTAATCAGTGAAGTAGGGCTTACTGTGTGATCACATCGGTGGGTAGCTGACATTAGCTGCCGAGCAAGAAAGCAGTAGGGGTGTGTGGGGTGTGTGTGTACACAGAGAGGTATACACATACACGAACACACGTAGCTGTTAGCAGGATCAGGTTGTGACGACGTCCTGTCTGATATTTAAGTGGAGAAGTGCATAGTGGGACTAAATATCTGAGCTTCTTGTTGGGAGTGAGCTGCCCGTGCGGAATGGGGCACCCATTTCTGCCTGAACCCCCGAGTTCCCTCCGGGCTGGTCACACATCCATGGATGGCTGTGTTCATGAAGGTGGCCAGACTGCACATTAGCACGCTGCAGAGCACTGTCACTGCACCTGGTCCACCAGTAAGTATCCTGATTTCAGCTTTCCTGGTCCTGTGTAGACATGTTGAATGCAAGCTGCAGTTTGTGAATAATGTGTGGAGGGTTTGGGGAGTCAGCTCAATGTGCCTTGCCCTCTTCTTTGTCATCAGGAGCATGGCTGGTGTATATTTTGAGAAGGCTGATGAGGACAGAGGGTGTGCAGAAGAGGTACCAGTGCCTGTGACCTACCTGTCTTTTGAAAATGACCGGTCCCAGAACCAACCTGCTGTATTTGCAATGATGTGTATGCGCCTTGGTGTCTCGGTCTGACAGTCCAGGAACAGAGGCATTGTAATTCTGTGGGCATTTAACAACTGTGGTCTGGATGAGAGTTATCTGTAAGGTATAAAAACAATTGAGCCAGAAAGCTGGATGCGCACAAACTGAATTAGAGCTGAAGAAAGGAAACCACTTCCAAATATCTGACATCTAAGCTTGCTATGTCTGCTTTCACAGCTGTGAAATGGGGATAATAGTATTACTCTGAAGGTATTACAAGACTTAAAAAGACATGTAATTCTTTGTCTGGTTATGAGCAACCTGGGCAACCTGGTCTAGTGGGAGGTGTCCCTGCCCACGGCAGGGGGATTGCAACTAGATGATCTTCAAGGTCCTTTCCAACCTAAACCATTTATGATGTCATGATATGGAAGGAGAAATTTCAAAGCTGTTTGGAAACAGCACCTTCACCTTTCTTTCAGGTTAGGGTTGAGTACAAATAAGAAGCGCTCTCCAGTGTGATTTTAGAGCCTGGAGAGACCATCTGATTTTATTTCTTTTTTTCCTTAGCAAACAGCTGGCATCCTGGTACAATTTCCCCAGAACGTGTAATCTTTAGTTCACAAGGAAGGAGGAGCGTGCTGGCGGTAGGTGTCCGCTGTTGGAATAGATCTGAGCGTGCGAGGAATTTCTCCTGTGGGTACCGGTGCGGTGATGGAGTGGCAACTCCCAGCCCCGATTGGCTGCGTCTGCTGCCCATCACGCTGCCGGGCAGAGCGCGGGCGCCCGGCTGCCCACTGGACCAGAGGAGCAGATGTGCTGGGTGTGGAGGGACCGACTCTCTTCTCGATGGAAGGAAACGCTGCCGTGAGGCTCCTACTGCTTTTTCTGCATGTGGGATTTGCAGTGTCTGTGGAGCAAATGGTTGCGACGGTGGATGGCAGGTCAGTAACTGAGCGTGTATCCACAAACTCTGTTGATGGAGTTGAGTGCATCTCTTAAGTGTTGTAATTTGGTCATTTGTGCTGTGTAGAGGCAGATTCAATCACAGTTTAGGATGTCAGGATGTGATTTTAATTTTCTTTTCAGCTTTGAAAAGACCTGGGGCTAATACAGAAATGAATTATTTTGAAGCCTACGCTGCATTAAAAATGTAACTTTAAAACAATTTTGTAGACAATACTGGAAATGGTTGTTTTAAAATGAGTGTTTTCTGGGCATCTGTCTTATATTTCATTACATTTTAATGACTCTCATCCTGACTTTCTCTGGTCTGTTTAAGAACAAAGTTATAAATAGAATAATGGCAAGGGTGTGAAAGCTACTCCAAGAAACATAGGTGCTAAAATATTCTGTTTCTGTAGAATGAATAACTATTTGAAGCATCAATTCAGTGTTGCAAAGAAGTATTAAACTTATGAAATTACTAGAGATTTGGATTTATTATTGTTTATAGTGCTATTTTGTTCTCTAATAAAGTATAAATAGGAAGCCCAAGTCATAGCAGGGGAAAGAGAGGACTTTCTAGAGCCAAACATTACAAAATAGAAAACTGTATTAATTGAGTCATGCCCCAAAGTCACTAATAACATGGAGATAAAATATGCTGATCAAGATCACAGCTGGCAGTAAAATCCGTGCATTTAAGGCAAGAAGGACATGTGGTGATTTGCTTAAGCTTGTATTAAGAGATCTAGTAGTCAGTTACCAATAAATGCTACAATATGTTTTCATTTAAATGGCTTACTTGCTGTTCTCCTCTGCCAGTTTTCAGATTTGTTAATGTCTTCTTAGTATAATTGCACTTTTATGCAATCAGAACAAAATCTGAGAGAAAGCAAGCAGTGGAGCATTACATGAACTTTATTCTAATAAATATTAAGAAATGAATCAATGCCAATAAATCGAATGGGGGTTTTGCGTTTGCATTCAGTGGAGGTGGGATCGTGCCTGCACAGTGTTAATCTGCTGGAAGTTCTATGAGCTCAATTTCTTTTTTTGTATTAAAAATGAAAGCTTGACTGCCTTGTGATTCCGATCCAGTTCTTATCGGACATCCATTAAAGTGCAGATCAAACCCCAGTACTCAGTAGGTTGTAAAATAACTATGTAAATCTGTCTCCCTGTGTCAAATCACACATGAGGCTACCAGAATGTGACACAGGATACTTAAAAATTAAAAACTGTAGGAGTCGTGGGCTTTGTAGGGATTTCTTAATGCTAGAACTGAAATAGATATATTTAAAACTTAATAACATTTTTGTTAGGATGTTTCTTAGAAGGAACTAGCTTTTGCCCTGAATCTGGGCTCCTAGGCTTACACATTTATAATTTTAGTAACTCCATTGAAATTGCTTGTGACCAACGTCCCTAGGACTACAACCAGTTCATTGCTACCAGGCGCTCAGCAAGCATTCATCACCTTTCATCATAACTTCGTTTTTTGTGCGCTTGAAGGTTGACATGTTATTTTCCAATTAAATGCTTCATAAATTAATTGAGTCTAGTTCAGCAGCCAGTGAGGTAGTCTGCAGCTGGGCAATATTAGTATTAGAGTGATAATTGTGGAGTAATCGAAATACTGTGGCAGATTACATTTTGCCATCTGATGCAGTTTGTCAGAGCAGCGATATGAAGAGTAAAAGACAGTGTGAATATGGCTTCCTTTAACCTGATGTTGTGAAAACTGTCTGTGGCCTCCACGTTCAATCACTGTTGAGCACCCGGGTTATTCATGCAGCTCGTGTGAGTGGACAAAAGACTGCTCACGTGTAAGTCTTCAAGGGCTGGAGTCTGTATGAACTTTTTCAGATGAACAAGCCAGACTTGGTTATCTTATGTGGATGGATAATGTCATCTGATAAGAGGGAATTTACACTTCTTTATACTTATAATCTTATTTAATTGGGTTTACGTAGTGATTAGTCATCCCAGTGCTTTGTATTAGGGCTAATCCAATTTCATGTGGGTTCCTAATGTACTTGGTATGGTAAATTCAACATACATGTCTGGGTGTATCTGGGCTAGTTATTTACGAATTGGTAAGGAAAAATATTAGTCATCAAAATGTATACCATGCGTGCTACTGAATTTGAAGTTTTAGGGTAGAGTGGCTGAAAAAGTGATAAATTTAAAAGTATAGTCTCTGATTCAGTGTGCTAAAAATGATTTGCTGTCACTGATTTGCAGGTCTAGCCACTGTTTGCTGGTAGTTTTGCTTGCAAGCAGTGGAGAAGAGGCTCTAGTACTAGCTAGTTTCCTGTCTCTTATACATGTAATTAACATTTTTGCATACAAAATGGGGTACCTCTTTCTTAATGCGTTGTTATTTTCCTATTTTTTCTTTCAATGCTTTTGGTCTGCGAAACATGCCCCAGCTGAGGGCAAAAGGGCTTTGCTGCCAGAGGTCGCCTGTGAATTCCCCAGCTTGCCTTTTGCCTGGAAAGGCTGCTTGATTTGACAGCAGGATGGGTGTTGAGCGCCACCAGTTCCCGTCACAGATCACACGCTTCTGTGACACCTCAGGGTTATGAGTGTCAAAGGCAGCTGACAGACCTGATAACATCAACATCAACTCGTGCTTGCTCAGAAATGGGGAGATGATCCTTCCCTTATGCCGCTGAGTAGGCTGTCTGTGCCCTAGTGATGCTTTAGTAAGAGTAAGCGAAGACTCCAAGCCTTGCTGAGGTGACTTTCCCTCTCCTTTCTCTAACGGGGCTGTTTGCCTAGTCAGAAGGGAAGGAGGCAGCCAGCATTGCTAATTAACAGAGTAATGAATAGGAGTACCTAGGTGGAGTTGCTGCACTTGCATGCCTCCCCCTGCCTCCCAAGTGTGCCGGCCAAGTGGCTGGTCCTTATTGTCCTACTGGGGTACGTAGCGGCAGTTCCTGGGTCTTTCTCTGCGCTACATTCCTCATGAAAGCATGAATATTTCATTAGCTGTGCGTGTTCATCTATATTTGAGTATCTTCATGCTGAGAGCAGACGTTTGATATTTCTTCTTGGAGCAGCGTGGCTGTGCATTGCCGTGGGTTTACGTGTGAGGTAGTGGCGTCAAACTGCGTTGTCATGAGCTCCTGCGGGCTGCGTGGAGGCTGGTTATAACCCTTCTGCTCAGAATGTAACCCCACAGGGGCGTTCGCTATGGGTACGCCTGATACATTCATTGTATGCTCTCCTTGAGGCTTGGTGTTGCCTATCAATTAGCGTTCCTCGAGGTCATTTAATTGGCATGACCATGGTACTAGCCTTATCCCAGATGGGAAGCTAAGTGATGATTTTTATTTGTTTTTAATCGACAATCATGAAAACAAAGGTAACCCTTCCTCTTGCCTGAACAACATAAAAAAGTTTCAAGTCCAGTGAGGGAATGAAATGAATTACACAATTTTACGCCAGCGTCCTCTCATCCCAATGTTTCAGTCTGCACCCTACAGCATAGTGTTTTCCAAACTGGAGTAGTGGTCTATGAACTTTTAATTATGTATGTAGGGAGGAGCTAAAAGTATAACTAAATATATATGGGTACAACTAGATATAACTACAGTTAGTATAACTAAATAATTTACATTAATTCCTTTTGGTCTGCCTTATTTTCGTAGCTAATATAATGAAAAGATGCTCCCAAATTGCCTTTTCCAGCCTGAAGGCACAATCTGTCATGAAGGAAGACTAGAAAAGAAAAATAAGGCTGCATCAAATCACAAAACCCGTGTTGATAATTGTTGAACAGCCTAAGAAGGAGTTTTACCTGAGCAAGAAAATAAGATTTGGTCCATTTTAGCCATGTCTTTTGCTACCTCTCTGTCAAAATGAGGATTATTTCCACCTGTCTCTGAAGGCTTCTTGCTACTGGGATGAGACCTTCCCGCAGGTTAGAGACCTCAGCACTAACCCCGGCTCTGAAAGTACGGTGGGGGAGAGTGGGACCCACTCTGAAAGCGCACAGCCTCCTTGGAGTCCCTGGGGCTTAACAGCTCCGACTGAGGAGAGAGTTGGTCTCACTCTCTGTAATTAAAACTGCCAGGTTGATTTTAACCAGTGGTACCTATATTGAGCTTTCTTGAATGTAAGACCTTTTTAAGGTTCATTCAGCTCCGATCACAGCCGCTGCTGCGGCGCTGCAGAGCCTAGCTGTCTTTTTGTGCTGTGGTGGGTTTTCTCTGGAGACTGTCTTCTGTGTTACTGCCCTGGCTGCTGAAGGGACTGGGCGGCCTCCCCGATGGTCGGGAGCAGAGCTGCTCATCAGACCCGGTGTTTGGCGGCGAAGTGACAAGCTGGAATACAGACTCCTCTTCGCTTTCGCCTGTTTTGCCTTCCGGGTTTGGGGAATCCGCAGGGGGACACAAGAGATCTGTTTGTGGCAGCAGAGAGCGTGCCTGCAAAAGGACATTCTCGCCGGAGAGACACTGATCAGAAGAAAGAGCCTGCCCTCCTGGACCTCGAGTGTACACAAGAGATTGCGTGTGAAACCTGAAGCAGGTAGCATTGCCGTGGGTTCAGGCAAGCCAGGATCAGTGTGGGCAAACTCCCCGACTGCTGGAGCCGCAGGGGCATAGCAGCAGGCAAGGCAGGCTCTAAGCCATCCCACGTTTCCCCTTTGGTGGCGTTATGTTGTTCATACACATATTTGTCTGCCGTTAAGGATGCTGCGATGGAAATGAGGTTGGGATCGCTCCTGCAGTACATGCTCATGGGTAACACACATCCCTCTACCCGGGGAGTCCTCTGGGGAGCGGGTTCACCCAGCTGTTCGAGGGCTTCCCAGCAAGGCCGAGGCTTGACCCTGCAATTCACATACCTTACAGTACAATTTACACATAAATACTGAAAACTGCTTTTATCCCTAGTCCTTATGTACTGGTGTTTGCGTTTTCAACTATTTTCAACATTTTCAACTGTTGCGTTTCACCTATTTTGCTCTTGTGGTGGGTTGGAATGCCAGTAAGAAACAAGGCAAGAAAAGAAGACGGAAGTGTATTTCCACGTGGAAAGTGAAGTGGCTGTGTGGCAGCTCTGGTGCCACCATTGCTTACGGTGGGACAGAAGCAGGGCAGGGTGTACAGGGTCTCTGTGGGACAATACTGGGCTGCGAGTGCTGGTGCCTTCACCTGCTAGGGAACGCTGTTGGCAGGCTTGAGAAGTAGACACATGTCATGAGATCAGTAGATCAATCTGCTGTCATGGGCTGCAGGTCCCAGGGAAGCTGCCATGGTGTGGAGGGGGCAGGAAGGTGTTTCTGTGACACAAGGAGTGGAGTCTGGTCCTAAGGGAGACCCTGGTTTCTTGGACTTTGACCTTGTTAATCTCTTAATGATGTACATGAATCTACTGGACTTGATTCTCTAGTTCAGGAAAGCAGATCATACTTAGACCACCTGAAGACTTATCCCTAAATTATACCAAAGAAGAAAATCAAAGGCTGAAAAATTCACAAGCCTGGTGTGCTTTGCTTGCTCCCTACCCTGCAGCTGACTTCCATGGGATTTGGGATTGCCTGGAACCATTCAGGAGCTGTCTTTAGATGGCTGTACATCTGGGGTTAAGACATACTAGCCCAGCTCATTTGCTTCGTCCTGGAGGAATTCCATGTGTTGCTTCTGATCCTCACTGGAGGCTGATTATGGTGCAGCGCTTTCCTTGTGTTGCCCTGCTTGTGGGCTGGAACTGGTTCAGTCTCTAACCCAGAACTGACCAAGGAAAGGGACAAGAGGGCTAATGAAGCCTTTAGTCAATACAGTAAGGACATGGGAATGCCTGGCGGGGCTGATCCACCTGAGGGATCTCTGAATAGGAGGCGTTTTTACCCTCGGTACGGTGACCTTAGGATTAAATTTCTCTGACATTAACCAGCCAAGGATCTGAGTTACGTTTTGAATGTTTTATCAAATGAAGAAGAAACAGGAGCTCTCCCCAGTAAACTTGCTGCAGACTTTAAATCCAGATACTGTACAGTAAACATTTTTCTCCTCTCTTCTAGCTCACGTGGGTTTTCAGATCAAGATTCTCTGCAAAGAAATGGTAAGGCTTTTTTTTCAGCGGGCTGAATAGCTGGATACTTGGTCTGTTAGTCTGGCTCTAAAAGGTCTTCATTCCCAGATGCTGCTTCTGCTGGCATTAGTGACTCTTGTGTCAAATGTGTTGTTAAAGCATATCCCTCTTTAAAATATACCCTTTAAAGGATTTGCCTGGTTAAAATAACCATTTACTGACTGACTGAGGTACAGTGAGAATGTGGCAGAAAGAAGTATTCATTCTATTTTATTTTTTTTTAAACCAAGTGCAAACAGAGTTAAATGTTTGAAAGATAGAGCTGTGAGAGTGTCCATGAAATGATCTGTCATCTGTGAAACTTCACTCTCCTGCCAAGCAGTCATGTTACTTGTCACAGCTTCCCGTCTCTTGGCCAGTGCAGGGGAAGAAACTCCCACCCATAGGTACACGGTTTTGCGATGCAATTCAACACACACCCTTTGACAATAGAGTTTTTGTTAAGTGTGTTTGGGATGAATAAATACATGTATAGGCTGAATCCTGTGATTTTGGGGCACTGGAGTTCTGCGCAGTAAGGGTGGCAAGATGTTAAATGAAAAGTAGTGGAACCTTGTACAAGTAAGGTAAAGTAAACTAGAAAATGCATGTATTGAAGGCAGTCTTTGCAGCAAGCCAAATATTTTCCAAAACAAAACCAGGTATTCTGAAATACACATTTCTTGCAGGGGTAGTTATTGTTTGAATAAGAATGTGCAAGATTATGCTTTTAGAAATGATTGGATGTTTTCTCTGTGGGCTGATAACACACTTTCTTCTTCAGGTCAACATTATGATGGTGGTGTGAAGACAAAATTCAATGGGAATCAAGTAGCAATTACACAGGTAAAGTTTGAAGGAACTGTGTCTGTGAAGTTTTTTCACAGCATGTTGAGATCTTTTAATTTGCATTAATTGAATGAAGTAATACATTGTTAACAAAAAATTGCCAGCAAAACTGTCTAAATCATTGTGATGCAGTACTGATTGGTGAATCGGTACCTGCTGTAAGATATCTTCTGCTTTTCTGAGAAGTGAGGCAAGACTTCAGTTGCTGTCACTGGTGCTGGCAGGCAGTGGGTGTGGACACAGGATCTTACCGAAAGAACCAAATCCTATCATCCATATTCTGTACAATGCTGTTTGACTGATGCAGCAAGTATTTTGTTTATATTGCTTGGTACTAAAAGAATAGCTGAAGCAAAACTACTGATTGTTTAAATTTAGTGGGAGTTTTTCCTGAGTCCAGCCTGTAGGTCGTGTCAAAAACTGGGCATAAAAGGCTTCCTTATCAAAAACCCTGCAAATGATGCAATCTAATGTAAATAATCTGTTGATTAAATCCATCTCATCTGTACTTCTGAGAAGACAGCCTCATCATTCATACAAATGACAGTCATAGTCAACGTTTCTTGCTGGCTGTTGCATCACGTTTTCTGACCATGATCTTACCTTGCTTTCAGCTTGTTGCTGTGAGTACTTGGTAATTTTAATCCTAAAGCAGCCTTGTGCCATATGTAAGGTCAAGTATCAAAAGGGGTCTTTCAGGGTATGAGCTGGGACATGCGATTCGCTAATCTGAACAGAAAAAAACCAAAAACCTCTCTTTAAGCCAAGACAGAGCTTTGGGGCTTAACCGCGTCCCTTCTGGAGCCTGGTAAGATGCTGTTTATGACTGGGACTCAGAATACCTCTCTTGTTTGTGCATGGTTTGAACTTGCTTAATCATATGTCATGCAAAACAGCCATGCAGACATTGTATACTTCATCATATCCAGATAGGACATATGTGTAGATGTGTAGATGGAAAAGAGCTGCTGCCTTGAAATTTTAGTTCGAAATATGGAAATGACAGTTAAATTTTGAAGTCCTTTCTGAGCCCTACCTCAGTGTCTCACATTATATTGCTTGACAGCCAAATTGTCATCCTTCTGCTATGAAATTTGGCTTTGAAGTGATGCATTTTTCTAATGTCTACAGATGACACAGAAGCTGCAGTCCCCAGGTTTTTAATCTTGTGAACAGCTGAATTTGTAAAGGCAGGAATCTATACTTGAGCCATCCTATTCTGCAGCAGGCATTTTCCCAATTTTAAAGCCATCAAGAGCAAAACTGTCTGCATGTAGAGTTAGACTTGGACATTTCTTTCACCTAGACAGCTGCCTAGTGTGCTTTCAGCATGGTAGGCTGTGTCCTTGGCCCAGGATGAGTCCTCTTTTGTGTGTTGAAGTAATTCTTACGGATGTCCTGAAGAATCTTCTTCTGGGTTTAGCTCCTTGTGATTCTAGCTTTGCTTCAATTTTTTATATTGTGCAGCTCTACGGTGAGATAGGAACATGTTAAGAATGTGGTTTGCCCCAGTGTTACTACCCTAGTAGAATAAATAGAACTTATATTGTTTCTCTGGCCAGTTGTGATGGAACTAGAGGTCTATATGGTGCCATTCCTGTGGTGGGAAGAAGTTAGTCAGAGGTTTCTCTGCTTCCTCAGTTCAGTACTGCTGTGGCTGAGAACTGTCTCCACAGATGCTCTCCAAATGCGGGCCTCACTTACTCTGGTAGGATGGGGAGTAACTCCTGAAATACACATCTTCTGATACTGATCTTTTATGTGGTCAATCAGGTTGTCAGCTACAACTTGAGCAGGAAAGGACAGTGGGAAAGAGCGTCCTGGAGGCCGTTCACTCACAGCCACTACAGCCCTCTCAACGTCACAGTTAATGGCATCCCCTGCATTCTCTTCTGGGCCAAGAGGATCATGATTAAGTTTGAAAACCACACGCAGCTGGATTTAACGGAGAAGACATTTGGTGTCCATGCAACAGTTGATGTTGGAGATTCAAACTGCAGTGAAGACAATGCAATGTAAGGTGGCATTCTACCCTGCCAATGGAACTAGTACCACGTAACAAGTCTAGTAAATACATATGGAAGGAAACGGACCCCGTATTATGTGGTGCAGACCCCCAGGGGCAAGCTTCTTCCTATAATGTCCTGACATTGTGGGCAGCGGGGCAGCATGGGTAAGATCATACTTTCAGACCAGTCTTTCGCAGGGCGCACAGATGTAGGTAGCTGTCCTTATTTCTGGCAGTGGTGTAGTCAATCCTTGTGGCCAGTCAGTTTTCCCTCATGCCTGTGAGGCTGAAGCTGCAGATCTGTTTAGTTTCCAGCTGTTTTACATGGCTGTTTGGGAGACTGAGTAGTAGTGGGGGCTCAGGGGCTGGCTGTGCGTGACTGCTTATCCCTTCGTAGGACATGTGCCAGCAGTAATGTAGACCATTGGTACAAGGTGCAAATGTGCACTTAGAAACAGAGTTAGGTAGCCCCAAGTCCCAGGATGTGATTCATGAGTTGCTGAAGCCAAAGAGTGAATGCACTACAGGTTTGCATGTGACCTGAAGAGTCTTGGAAAACCTGAACTGTGCATCCCAGTTTATCATGGATTCCTTCAGCGTGAAGAGCAAAATACTTAGCTCCCGCTAAACCTGAGTGAGAGCCATATATTAACCTAACTGGATCCAAAATTCTCCAATCCCATGACTAGACTAGAAAGGCACGTAGATTTTTTTATTTCCCTTGTAGTGTACTTGGCCACTTCTCCCCTTCCATGTGGTGTGCTGGCTGGCTTCATGTCTAATAGCAAGTCATTGATTCCACTCTGGTAGGCAACAGTCTAAAAATTAGGAGGTGGATACCTAACTGGGCACGTGCTGAACATCAGCATTGAGTTTACCCCATAAATGGAGTTTAAATCTGTAATGATACACAAGAATAAAAATAACATGACCAATCCCAACAGTTTCATTTAGCTGCTACACAACATTTCACCTGTACAACTAAACACATTTCCACCGAAAATAAGTGTTATCTCTTTCTAATTATACTTATGTGAAGGTTAACCCAAGGTGAACAGAAATTTTACTGAGGTTGCAAGAAAACTAAAAGTATAATTGAAAACGAAGCCAGGTTTTCTGCCTGTGGTATCATAGTATTCAGCAAGGCGTTCTGAATTTTACGTCATCAGCATGTGAACTAATCCAGCAGTATGTTTTGAAAGGCAGAGGTAGAGAATGGAATAATATTATTTTTTTTTAAGCAATGCTTGCACAGCATTTAGGCTTTCTCTCTTTGTCTCTCTGCCCCCTGCAGTGATTAGGTTGAGGTTGGCAAGGGGCTGGGAGTGGACATTGCCTGGACAGCTGACTCAAGGTGGCCAAAGTTATATTCCTTGCCATATAATGTCATGCTCGGCAATAAAAACTGGAGTAGAGGACAAAGAAGCGGGTAGGGCTTGTGTCTTCCAGGGTGACCGTAGCTCAGACATTTGTTGGGCATCGGTCGGCTTGTGGGAGATGGTCAGTGATTGCCCTTGCAAAACTTTGGGTTTTTTTTCCTATTTTCACAGAATCACAGAATGTTAGTGGTTGGAAGGGACCTCTGGAGCTCATCCAGTCCAACCCCTCCGCCAGAGCAGGGTCACCTACAACAGGTTGCACAGGACAGTGTCCAGGCGGGTTTTGAATATCTCCAGAGTGGGAGACTCCACAACCTCTCTGGGCAGCCTGTCCCAGTGCTCCTATCACTGGGCGCCACTGAAAAAAGACTGCTCCCATCCCCCTGGCATCCTCCCATTAAGTATTTGTATGTATTAATAAGATCCCCCCTCAATCTTCTTTTCTCTAGACTAAAGAGACCCAAGTCCCTCAGCCTTTCCTCATAAGAAAGGTGCTCCAGTCCCCTAATCATCTTTGTTGCCCTTTGCTGGACCCTCTCCAGCAGTTCCCTGTCTTTCTTGAACTGGGGAGCCCAGAACTGGACACAGTACTCCAGATGCGGTCTCACCAGGGCAGAGTAGAGGGGGAGGATGACCTCCCTCGACCTGCTGGCCACACTCTTCTTGATGCACCCCAGGATGCCATTCGCCTTCTTGGCCGCCAGGGCACATTGCTGGCTCATGGTCATCCTGTTGTCCACCAGGACTCCCAGGTCCCTTTCCAGAGAGCTGCTCTCCAGGAGGTCAGCCCCCAACCTGTACTGGTGCATGGGGTTATTCCTCCCCAGGTGCAGTACCCTACACTTACCCTTGTTGAATTTCATAAGGTTCCTCTCCGCCCAACTCTCCAGCCCGTCCAGGTCACGCTGTAAGGCAGCACAGCATTCCGGTGTGTCAGCCACCCCTCCCAGTTTTGTGTCATCATTTGTGTCTCTTTCCTTCACTTACTCAACTCTGTTTTGACCCATGAGTGCTCTCTCTTTTGGTCTTCATATTCTCTCCTCTCTCCTGCTGTGGGGTGGGCAGAGTGAGTGAGCAGCTGCATGGTTCTTAGCTGCTGGCTGGGGTCAACCCACCACAGGGCTGTATATTCTGCTTGATCCATTATATTGGAAGATATTTGGGAATTTATAGAACACATTATTCATGCAGGAAGAGTTGCGTAGCAGAACTACTCTGCAGCATACCCTTGACAGGTTTTTTATCAGTATTTCACCGTATCTGAGGTTTGATCTCAAAATCTGTGGGTTCAGAGCCATCTTATCTGCCATGTCGTCTGATCTTTCTCTTTGTTTCTCCCATAGTTTTCCAAGTAGCCTCAAACTTGGGACACAGCTGCTAAAGGCAGGCAGGTCCTTGATGCTAAGTTTGAAACTGAGGCTGGCATGGTTTTGTGGGGTCAAGAGACATACTGTGTCTACTAAGAATTTTGTCCCCTTTTCTGTGGAGGGCGAGAGGAAAATGCTACCCCTTCCCAAGGGTTTTGCTTTCTGCATGTTCTACACTTTGCTTATTTGGGATACATTAGGAAATACCACTCCCACTGACTCCCGCCCTTTGAATGTGCTGCAGAATCCTAACCAAGAAAGGACTTTCTTATTTTGAGCTCTCGCTAAGAGGGATTTGTCAGGACATTTGACAGATTGCATGAACAGATCTGTGGGATCTCTGCTAGATTCCACATATCAAGTCGTTAGATACTGTTTGTTTCAAGCATCCATTCATTCATTGCCACTGAGAGCATCTAGGTACTGATTGGGGACCCTATCTGTAGAAATCATGCTCTATATATAGGAAAATGGGTAATCTGGGCTCATGAGTCGGGATTAGACTCGGTGTAATTGCCAAATACGAGTCTTGGGTAGATTTTAAGTCCACCTGCATTTGACTGTAGCAGAGAAAAAAGGGAAAATCTGGCTTGAATGTTGCTTTGTAACCTCAGGTTTAAGGACTCGCCTAAATTATGCCTGTTGATGGCTGAGTGCTCACATGATGCATTGACCAGTTTTTCTCGCCCCAGAAAAGCCCCTTAAACTTCTCCCTTCTCCAATCTTTTTTGTTCAGACAACACTCTGTTGTGGCTTTCGGCCAGCTTTCAAGCTGGTTTATACTGTCTAATCAATACAAAGCAGTTGGAGACAGGAGAACACGTTTGACATCAAACACACATGTATTTGCTATATGAATATAATAATCCAACCTATGGGGGTTTTTTTTGTGCACCAACTTCTGGATCAGGCCAGTGGGTTGAATGCCATATTTGCCTATGTCTAATCCTCAACTATCTATGATTTCCCTTTGTAATAAAGTAAGGGAGAGTCTAGATTCAGTGTCCTGGCTTGTTGGACTGGTGTTAGTCAAGGTCCAAGACGAAATCTAGATCTCTGATGAAACCATAGGGCTAGCTGTTTTTTTAAAAAATGTTCTTCAGCTTTAAGTTTGGAAGTCTTTCAGATGCTGCATGTTTTCACTACATTTTGTCTTTAGCTTAGTCTGAAAAGGTTATGACAACAATGAGAATCTATTGTGCAGGTTTTAAGAGGCAAAATATTACTGTAAAGCAAAAAAAAAAAGGTATGCCACTTAATCATGCAGTGCTACAATGCATTAATTCCCTGGATGGTAGAAGGATGGTAGAGTATGCATTAATTTACAATTAACCTGCTAGGGCCCTTCACCTTAGTAAACTTTAGGTGCCCGTGCTCATCACAGATGATCTTTGTAGAGGCACCTCACAGTCAGTGTATTTATATTGCTCTAGTGATGCACATGTGTGTAATTGGAACTCAAATGTCATCTGCATTTTTTATGCTCTAGTATTTAAAAAGATGAGAATAATGTGGCCATTTATGCTTTCTGATGACACACAGGGGTGATACATGACTTAAGATGTCATGGCTTGAGAAGGAGAGCACAGATCAAACGAACCTAGTTGTCAACTGATGTTGGAAGCAGTGGGATTGAATTGTGTTGAAAGTTAAACATGCAGTTCTGTTATTTCTGGATAGTCTAGGCCTCGTTCAAATTAACAGGTGTACTACGGGATTTCACTGGAGGAAAATTAAATCCGCTCATTTTTTTTTCCCACTGACTTCAAGGGTATACTGAACAAAAGTATGTATAACTACGCTTAGTTTTTTGTGCTGCTTTTTTTCTCTTAAGATTTCTTAAGTTTTTAACTAGCCTGACATTACTTGCTTTTTGACCTAGGCTTTCACTGAAGTTTGGTGATGTCGGCAATCTAAAGGGACTTGTTATTAGGTAAGTTTATATGAGAAAGAACATATTAGATAATCACATGTTAATATCCATTGTTATGCAGTTGTTTGTGCAATTTGTTTTAGGAGCATTTGTGTAAGCAAAAATAATGTCATAGAACTGTTGATTGTATAATTAAGACACCTGCATTTAATATGTCTGTCATTTGTCTGCCTTGTTTTATTAAGGCATTTCTTCTTCTATGTTGACTTCTATAGTCACGAGAAAAGTTCAGGTCGTCTCTTTTGCATAGAATCTGCCCATGTCTGAGATTTTGGCTAAACCTTGCTAATAAGCTACATTTTTGTCTGGGAATTTTGCCACAAGAACTGATAGTGTGGACTGCTCAGGCATCAGACTGTGACCTACTTTATGTTTGCTTGTTGGTGATTGAAGAAAACAGCATTTCTTGATAACTGATTTTCTGTATTTTGGATAAAAGTACAATATCAATGTGGGATATAGATTTTTCTCAATCATTTAGGAAAAATCTCTCACCTTTCCTCTCTGTGTGTGGGAGAGCAGCAAAGTCCTTTAGCTGCAACAGTGAAGAAACTCAAATCATTTTCCGGGCTGAACAGAAGGAGCTAGAGCTCACACTGATGTAAATGGGTGAAACACTGGTAATACCAGCGTGCGTTCTAAGATTGTTCAACATGTAAATGTAATAGTTCCAGCTCTTAGTTAGACTTGCTTTGTTATTAATCTTTTTTCCTGTACAATAATTTCAGATTCTTATTAACAACCAACTATTACCAGCTGTCTGTTCAGAACTGGTTCAGCTTACACAGACTGCAGCTTCTTTACAACCACTCCATACAAGCAACGTTTAATGCAACCAGAATATATGCACCAGCAAGTTACTCCTACCACTGTGAACATGTGAGCAGCTTGCAGAGATATGATGCACTTCTCATACCCAGCTCTGCAAATGATCTTTCAAAGCTTTGGGAAGTCACTTTTATTGATTTCCAGGTAATGTCATGGAATTAAGCCCAGTGGATCCCACAGGTAGACTGATGGGAAATTTTGCACTTCACTGCCAACAAATATAATGACCTTCCATGGACAGTTGACAGGATCTCCATGGGACTTCAAAAAGAAATGAAGACTTAAATTATTATACTTATCTTTCTGTCAAAGGAAATGAAGGGCTATATAGATTTTCTGTAGTCTCTTGCTTGGGTTTCCTTTCCGTGTGGAGAGTGAATTTAACTTTCAGTGTTACATCTCTCTGAGCTGGGCTCTTAAACCTGGCATCAGTAACAGCATCAGTCAGCAAGTATGGGATTCCTCTCACTTAACTTTTGATGCCTAGTAATTTTAACCTTGTGCCCTGCTTATAGTCACCCCAGCCTGCCTCTAAAGCCGGTGGATAATTCCTCTGACTCATCTTAAGTACTTATTTTAGGATGAGATTAATCATCTTCTGAAAGTGCCTATTTTTCTGTGTTTGACAGTAAGCCTAAGGCAGCCTAAGATAATTGGACTAGGATGTCTTGCTTTTAGATACTAAGTCAGAGGGCATGAATAGCTGAAAAAGGGGTTGAGGGGGAAAGCTGATCCCCTTTTCTCACCATGTGATAAATGCCCATGTCAATCCCTGAATGCCAGTGTGGTAAACTTCATGTTAGAACTTGAAGCCGCAAGTGAAACTTACTGGTATTGGCCATAGTTGGATGCAACTTCATTTAGTTTAGCTGATTTGCTAACATATACCGCGCTCTTGGATCTGGTGAGAAAAATCTAATGTTAGCGTAGGCAATTGAGAATATTTTGTTGCTTTTCACGTTGAAGTTTATGCAGTTTGAAACAGAGACTTTGGAGATTCTCAACAAGTGGTGCTGGAAATGCACTGTTAACTTGAAAGGTACCATGCTTACAATTAAATATTACTGGGCTCTCAAGAGTGATTGCAGAAGATTTTGTTTAAAACACAACTGCAAATCCTTTGAGCAGCAGAGTGAAGGGGATTAGAATAGCTGGCAGTTTCTAGAGGACTGACCTGGTTAAACTCTGAGCATTAACTCCAGCTAGCGCTGGTAGATACAATTTTGCAATATGCAGGAATTAAATTAAAAATTCTTACTGCCATCAGGAGCAAATTCATGAAGTTGTTTGTAACTGAGACACAAGTACTTTATTTAATATGAGCCCTTTTGTTCTCTTTGTAGATTCAAGGTTTTAACATTCAAGAAGGACATTTTGCCTATGCGAAAGACTGTGCATCCTTTTTCTCTCCAGCAATACTTATGGGATTGGTTATGTCGCTGATTCTGCTGCTGGTTCTTGCCTATGCTCTCCATATGTTGATCCACCTGAAATCTCTTGACAGGCACTATGAATGCAAAGCTTCTCCTGCCTATTTTGCACAGATGAAAGACAGTGACATGGGAGATGAGAAAGAGCCACTGAGAAGCAGTGGAAATGAGTCCTATGAACTTAGAAACCAACAGTTCTGTAAAATCTATATTTAGCAGTATGTTTCTGTCTCAGTGAAACAAGTGGTATTTTCTTCTGCTGGCACTGTTGTACGTAGTTTGTGCAGATTTTTCACCAGCTGATGAAAGGAAAAGTAGGTAACAGACTGTTTAGCCAGTTACTGTCATTTATTGATAACCATCTCAAAGATGCCTTGGAAAACAAGATGAGAGAAAAAAATTCTGTTGTGAGTAAGAGATTTCATGTCGTGGGAGTTTATTCCTGTAGTATGAAACCAAAATGCATATCTTTTCATCCAGCTTCCCAAGTCTTGAAGAGAGAAGCAGCAATGGAGACTTCGAAATTAAATAAAGGTACAAAAAATTGCAAAATAAAAAACCCTTCTGTGCTTATTCTTTCAGAAGGCAATATTTTTCATGGTTTTGTATTTGCTTCATCCACCCTGCTCTATGTCCTGACAAAAGAGCATCCATTCCTTCCTTAGTATGTATTTTCCTTTTATTTTCCAAATTGCATCCCCTCCTCTTTGTCCTCATAAACTCCTTTTCCTCCTTTGGAGTCTCCAGAGCCACATAAGCTGTGTATTATCCACTACACTGACGAAATAGTGATGGCTCCGGTACAGCAGCATCTTGATACTTTTCTCTGTCTAAGCTGGAGGCTTACTGTAAGGATCTAGTGGGAGAACAGTAGACATCTGGTCAAAGGATTACCCTTAACTTCCCGCTCAACTCCACGCCAAAAGACGGATTATGAGCATTATACCCTGTAATTCTAGGTTAATTTCTTTTCTTTCAAATCCCATCAGTCTCCCTTGGGAAGTTTACCTGAATGCAGATAGCCAGTGCTATAATTGAAAATACATATAAACAAAGTGGTGGAAGCTCCCTAGCAGTGAAAAGGATACTGTGATATAATTTTCACTCCTCCTTCTGAGCATTTAAAATAATGTCTTCCTGCTCATCTTTGCTTCTGTTAGACTAAAAGCTTGGAAACTCTGGATTAGCCTGCAATTTGGCCCTGACTTCTGGCAAGGAAGAACACAGTAATGTGCTAACTGTAGTGCTTTTAGGTCACAAGTAATACAAAAACCCAGCATGTCAGAAAATCTTCTGCAAAACCAGATTGAGTAAAAAAATGCATTTTTTTATTTTAGATAATAGATCTAATTAGTTGTTTGAGGTCTTCATAAACTGTACTGCGGTGGTGTTAAAAAACCTTGAGAGACATCCAGAGATCTCCTGTTTATTAGCACAGATGACAGACAGACTTGATGTGGAGTCCAAAGCAGTTAGTTGATCTAGGAATGCACTGCAAGGCAAAAAAACCCTCACCATCTTTGGGGTGTCACCAGACATAACAGACAAGCTTATGGGGACTTGTCAATGCCGCCTGTGGCCAGTTGCTGCCAGGCTTTATCAGTTTTGTAAAGGAAGTAAGCAAAAACGTGAATGTCTGGGATCCTGAAGGAGGTTAAAATGAGAAGGTGTGAATAAAACCCACAGTATTCTGTGTGGAGTGGCAAAACGCTTGCCGGCTTGGTCCCCCCTGCTTGCGCCCAGCGATGACGGATGTGGGCTGATGACACTGTTGGAAGGAGTTCAGGATGCCAGTGCTAAATAGGTGATGTTCCTCGGGGTCCCGAGAGCAGTGCTGTTGTGCCTGGGGTTTGCTTGCCTGTCAGGCAATAAAAACCTGGCACTAATCACTGGTAGCCTGACTGCCAAAATTACCGTCATTCACTGATGTAACATACGCACTCTGCAGAGCTGTGCGTGGTGGCTTTGGGCATGGCAGTGGTCTCTAAACCTCATGTTCTCTGAGGCCCAAGTGGATGGGTTCCTGCTGCAGAGCTCATTTAACCTTCTGGTTAGCATCTGGTGACGCTGTTGGTTTATTTCTTACCTATCATTTTCTTGCGTATTTTAAATAGGCAATATTATCGCCATTGCTGTAAGAGGTTGTCAAGAGATTGGTAAATTGGGAATAAGGGAGATTCCCTCTCTGATCGTGTCTCTTACTCCTCGTGTCCTTCTAAACCTCCTTCCCTAGCTGTTTTCTAACCCAGCTATGTTCCCTTCACTTTATCTTGGCTTTGAGGGTGAAGTGATAACTGCTGGTGTTATGCTCGAGAGACTGTGCACTGCAAATCCCCAGCGCGTGTCCGTGCAGAATTTTTGGTGCAGAATTAAAAGGTGGGTGCGGCCCTTTCAGCTGCAGATAAAAATTAAAAAAAAAAAATGTAAAGAAAAAGAAAATTCCTTTCCTCTTCTCAGCTTTTTCAAACTGATGACACAACCGGTATTACACCTGGGATCTCTTGGGTGCAGGAGCACAGTTAGTAGTTGTCTTCTCTCTGCTGGGACTTTTTGTGTTGCAGTCCTGCCTGGCAGTGGCAGATGATTCTGCTCCACCAGGTATGCTCAGTGTCATCACATATCTACTCAGGTGCCAGCAAGAGTTAGTAAGGATAAATACACTAATTGAGTTAGACAGGAAATACGATGTGCAGTCATAGGACTGGAATTATGAGCCACATATTTAGAAAGACTTGATGGTGCTTTAGTGGAAAAAGCACCGGAAGAAAAAAAGTCATCATTGCAGTTCCTGTCTCCTTGTGCCATGTATAAAAGCCAGCACCCATGGTTGAAAAAGACATTGCATTCCGGGTAGGTTGTGTTTACTGTGAGCCAAACAATCCTTATTGAATGCACATTTTGGAACAACAGAGGCATTCCATTGCTCTGGTCCTGAAACAAGAAAATTCAAGTTCAAATGGTTTGCTTGCTACAAAATTAAGCTATATTGGCACTAACAGACTCATTAATAAAATATAAGCTTTTTTGCATGGTTCACATTCTGCATAATTTCATGGCTGCATGAGAGCACAGCAGCATTTTCAACATATATACATGTTCATTCAAACAACAGCCTTATGGCATCTTCTAAAAGCTGATTCACTGTTTCAAATTCACGGCCCCATCCACTCTCACTCAAAGTCAAAAGGAAGAGTCTTATTTCCTTTAACTGAAACAGGATAAATTTCACAGACTATGCAGCTTTCACTGTGCACTGATAACACTGAATTGAACAAATAAATACATTTGTTTCTCGTACTTTTCAGCTGCTCTAGTTAAAATTTTATATAATTGCTCCTCACCCCAATATTAGGTAACCTCACATCTGCAGAAAACTAGGATTTCAGGCAGTACATTGAGTACTATTGTTTGACCTGAAGTGGTGGACTGTTGGCGTAGTATTAGTTACGATTGCACAAGGAATAATCAAAGCCAACATCACTGTGAAGACATGGACAAAAACCATGAGTCCACTGGCTGGTAAGTAACACTGAATTCCAGCACGCCAGAAGAAATAGATGTATTTATTTCCTTCAAGTTTTTAAAATTATGGCATTTCCCTCTCCTCTTTTAAAAATTGATTTTTGCTGCAGCACCACTGGTATTTCTGGCAGGTTTTTTTTTTTTTGTTTTTTGTTTTTTTTTTTAATTGAGGACTTTCAAAAAGGTGGATGCAACCTTCAGGTTCAGAAACTGTCCCCAGGAGCACAGCAAGAAGGCCTGTTTGGGAAAATGGTATCCTAGTACAAAGGGAAAAATAGCCGCTTCAACCCTGAGAAGCTGTATCAACCATGAGTAGCAAAGAGCCGTATCCTTAGCTGCTGTTGCTTACTTCTGCGCACAGAAGATAAGAGTCGGTGGAAGAACAACTCTCATGGGAGAATCTTTACTCAGCATCATCCTAAGAAGAACTGATATCCAGCACCAGGGCTTTGCGCTGGCCTTCAGGTTACCCTCATTGGTACCTCATTGGTGCCGACTACCTCATTGGTAGTCGGCATTAGATCTTCTCTTGGTATCTCAGGCAGTGGCAGGTCAGTTGTCGGTTCTCTCTGTGACTTCCATAACTCAGCTTACCCTCTGATGTTTGCATTTTTCAGGATGGGTCTGTTCTTCACCATCACTTGAATACCTCTTAAGGTTTTCTCCATTTCTAGTAAGCCTTGTGATGTGGCATTTGGCTGATTTATGATAGATCTTAAATCTGACGCAGTTGTTCCTAGCTCACACCTTAATTCATTTGCTGTAACATTACAGCAACCACATTTGATGTTACAGAACAAGGACCCAAAACTACCTTCAGAGCTGCACAAACCCAGCTAACAAGCCAGTCATTTAATATAAACCATATTTATTGTAAGGAACTTTTCATTAAAATGCAAAGTTTACCCGAGCTGGAGGAGCAGGTCAAGAGCTGTGACTTGCGCGTAGCCACACGGGTTGGGATGCCGCTCTGTATGGTCTTCTAAGCTTGGTTTGCCTGCAGTGGTAGAGTCAAGAGAAGTGATTGCAGACTGAACTGCCAATTAGGGATTCATCATCAAGTCATCAGGCACGCCATCCAAGAGAACTCTGTTCCTGCCCTGGACCAGTGCTGTTCCCTGTCCATCTGTCTCTGCAGGTAAAGCCTCATTGTAGAGTAGTGCTAGAAATAGCACGAAGCATTTTATGAGGGAAGAATCTGCATTGCATAAAGGAGAGTGAACAAAGTAACCCACCTAAAGGATCTCAAACTTTACAGTAACAGTACAAGCTGCAAATTCCAATCAATGTGATTTTCTGTGTGAGTAGCATTTCCACAGGTAAGACTGATGTTATTTACAGCTGCTTCTGAACAGGAAAGCAGCAGTGGAGATACAGGAGAACAGCTATGCCAGTAATCATCTCTTCTGGAAAGGTGGCTGTCAACACAGGTTCAGGCTCTGATAAAAACTCTATTTTTCATGACAATTGGTTCTTGGCCTCCATGGGAACTTACTATGAAAGCTTAGAAATAGTGTTGCTGCGGTAGATAGAGTTTTAGATATGGGCTTAACCTCAGAGGAACACTCTCTTAACATCAATCCAGTCATGAGATAAGAAAACAGAAGAAAGTGCTAGATCTTGTATATACATCCTTTCACTTTTATTTCTTCAAGCTGGTAGTTTACTATTTATCAGAAAGTGTAATTTGTTTCTTCTGAGTTTTTATTGAAGCCTAACAAAGAGATTCAATTCCTGCAAATGTTGGAACGGCCTTCCTGAACATTGTTTGTCCCCGTGCTGCCTCTTAGGCTATTGAGGTGCCTCTCGGATGTCCAGGACCCATGTGCGCTGCC